GTGGGTGGAATTGGGGTGTGGGGGTTGTTGAATTTTTTTTTTTTTTTTTTGGTTAGTTTTTTATTTGATTTTTTTATATTAGTTATTTTAAAGATATATTTTTTTTGTCCACATGGAGTCCATGTCATTAAAAAATTGAACTCACATTCGCCACATCAGCATTTAACAAACTTACTAACGATCTGACTAATAGTGGGGGCAATTTGTAGGTTTTCTAGGAGTTTGAGTATGTACTCGTAAATGTCTCTAAAATTGGATATGAACTTGAAAATGACCCTATAATTTAGGTGGTTTTATGTAGTTTGTCCAAAATAAAATATCAATTTTCCGATGTAGTACTTTTTATATTAGGTACTTGCGTTTAAAATTAAAAAACTCAATTTCATTTGCCTCAATAGAAAATGACGCGTAGTAGGTTAGTCCATGGTTGACATAAAAACGACGCATAGTCAGAAACGTTATAACCAAAAAACAGTCTTCTGGTCGTGCTGATGGGTGCAAATATAATAAAAAAATATTTCTGACTTCATCTTTCACTAATGGCGAGGGACGAAATTTCTAGGAATTTTCGCATTATAAAAATGTCAAAAATAATATGTATATATATATATATATCTATAAAGCAGAAGACAAAGAATAGTGAAACATTCAAAATACCAGAAAATGCCTTTGGTTAATTCAAACATTAAGAATTGAAATTATTAATTAAATGAGGAAAATATAGCAAATTCACATTTTTTTCAAATTAAAAAAATTAAAATTAAAAACAAAATCATATAAAAGGTCATACTTTTATGGAACATAACTATCCATATTATTTTTTCTTAATTCTAAAAATAAATTAAAAAAAGAAAAAAGAAAACCAATTGGCACATGCCAAGGGGCTAGTGACTTTAAAACAAGAGGGTTTTGTTGACCCAAAAAAAAAGAAAAAAAAAAATTGGTTTCGTTGTGTTGGTAGTGGGTGGCTATTAATAGAGATTATTGGCCGAGTCCCAGTCCAATTTGATCCTTAAAATGGGAGGGTGGGTAACCCAAGTGGGGGCATCATGGGCTCTTTAAATTTTCTATAGATGATATTTTATCCACTTTTCTTTCTGTTTTGTCTATATATATAAAGCAAAAGGCAGAGTGGTAAAACATTCAAAATACCAGAAAATGCCCTTGGTTAGTGCATATATTAAGAATTGAAATTATTAATTAAATGAGGATAATATGTTAAATTCACTCTTTTTCATATTAAAAAAAATTAAAATTGAAGGAAAAATCATATAATGGATACTCTTTTTATGGAACACAACTACCCATTATCTTTTTTAATTCTAAAATAAATTATTTAATTTTTTTTCAAAAAGCATCTCATAGGTGCGGAAGCGCGTGCGGAGAGGCTAGTATATATAAAGCAAAAGGCAGAGAGTGGTAAAACATTCAAAACAACAGAAAATGCCTTGGTTTATGCAAATATTAAAAACTGAAATTATTAATTAAATGAGGATAATATGGTAAATTCACACTTTTTCATATTAAAAAGTTAAAATTAAAAGAAAAATAAGATAATGGATCCTATTTTTATGGAACACAACTATCCATTATCTTTTTTAATTCTAAAATAAATTTAATTTTTTTAAAAAAAAGCCTCTCACAGGGTTTAGGGTGCAGAGAGGCTAGTCTAATTTATTTTAGAGTAAGGGTTTGTTAGGTCCACCAATTTAATATTTTCCATGCTATTTCAATTTATATGAATAACATTCATCTGGCATATATTTAAGTGACGCTAACATGGCATAAAATTTTGCTTCACTTGTTTTTTGTTTGTTTGGGTAAAGGAGTATTATGGCTGTATTAAATTATCAAGAATTTTTTTTTTTACATTAACGTCTTGTTTGATTATAAAACCGAAAAAGGTGCAGGAGTTGGCAGATCATGCTCAACTATTTGTTTAATTTCAGTTGATTGTGATTTTCAGTCAAACACGGTGCACACACAGATTTGGTCGTCTTTCTGAAATAATAATTGTCAGCACCAATGTATGCTTTCTTGTATTAGAAAACAGTATGTTAAGTTCTAGTAATTCTTAAAAAAAAAAGAAGATACATATTAGCTCCAACTTACAACTTTCAAGTGAAATTTGCTAAATTATATTAATGCTGAAAGTGAAAGATACTTCAAAATGGTATCTTATGGGCTTGAAAAACTTAGTTATAATTTTGATTTTATGGTATAATACTAGGGTCATGCTAAAGAATTGAGGACTCTTTGATTTATTGCATGATAATAAATCCTAGGGTTAATACTAAATACTAGGATTCATGATTTTTTTCCTTAAGAGTCTGAAAATCTTGTTGGTCGTACTATCTTTTGAAATCCCATTACTCCACCAAATGATCATGATAGTTGTTGAAATCCCATAATATACTATTTCAAACCCGGAAGATTATTTTCATCAAAACAAACAACATTGAAAAATAGGCTTTTGAATTCTCCCTTTAGAAATAAAGGAAAGTTTTAGTTTGTAACATTTGTGTTTTCAGACCTGCAACAACTTTTAATACCTTGCATATATTGAATGCTGACATGCATTGAGAGTAGTTCAAATCTGATGTAATAACTGACAATAGGACTTCGTTAAAGATCTTATTTGAGGACTGTACAAGAGAAACAACTGCATATATGCGTGCAGATGCACAAATGTGGTTGTAAGCTATATATGTTTGAATATACTCGGTGGTTACTCTTTTATTTTCAGTTGAAGACTTTGACTTGTGAACTTTTACTGCTACTATAGTTCTGGGGGACTATGATTGTTGTTATGGAGTTA